TCCCACCGGCCGCGCAATGAGGACACAGAGAGCGTTAAAGAAACGATTTACTGACCCGTTAGCACTCCCGCCCGTAGCGCAGCCGCTGGGAAAGGCGAACGCCGGTACAGTTTAGAAAAAAAAAAACAAGTGTTGTACAGTTAAAATATTACACAAATCTCAAAAATAATAATAATAATAATAAATCAGTGGCTGAGTAACAAGCCTGGAGTTTCAGATCCAGTATTAGCACCTACAGCACCAGCCCAGCGCTCCCCGTCCTGCTTCTCCACTCAGCCCCTCAACCAGGACACACCCCGGCTTCCATCAGGGAAAAGGATGCAAGAGAAAAATACTCAGCCAGCTTCGGTTCTAGGAGCTTTACTGTTGTAGGTATTGCTGAGGAATGTTGATGCATGGAAAGGATTAAATAACGCACAGTTCTACTTTCCAAGAGCGTGCCAGCAGATAGAATTGAGAAACCACCTTACACAACATCTAACAGCGTGTCAAACTGATGTTTTCCTATAAATTATATATAATAAATCCATAAAGAAACAGTTTTAACACTTCACATATGAATCAGAGCAGGGTAGGAATTGTTAGGTTTATTGGTTCAGCATCCATCTTACTGCACTTACTGTTTTACAGACCCTTCTCCTGGTGAGCACTGACAGATGCAGTAACAGCACAGACACAGCAGGAGAAAAACCACCAGCACTAAAGTCCATCTATTCCTCCCCCTCCTAGAAACAACCAAAACATTCAAACAAAGAACACTTTGCCTTCTGGTTTTCCACGAGAATCAGCACGGGGAATGTAAAATGCTCGTTGCCTCGAGTCACTTCTCGCCAGGCAGAGGCACTGTGTCTCCCCTCACTCCAAAACACAACAGGAGGGAAGGTCTAATTTCTGGAAAATTCCCAATTCTTGTAGCTTTCCAAAGCCCAGTGGGTTCACACAAGTGTTTAAGAACTAGGGAGGAACAGCACTGCACTGACGTGACTGAAACCAGACTGGGGCTGGGCTCTCCTGTCAGAACAGGATGCAGCTTTACCACTTCTGCTTTGTGTTGGGGAAAAAGATAAAAAAAAACAAAACCAGAACCTAGAAGGTGATGTCATTGCTTAGAAGTTTGCCACAAAATGGATGCTGACCAGCTAGGTCACTCCACACGGAGCAGTTTGAGGAAGTTAGTCCTTGTAGTAGATGGCACTGTGGATCTGGCAGCAGAGAAAGGAATGATGCTCTAAAGTAGGAGGTAGGGGAACTTGGATACAGCAAGTCCACTCTTGAGCTGTCTGCTAGAAAAGAAGTTTCATATTATTAGAAACTATTACTAAATAAACCAAATAAAACCCCAAACAAACCTGTCCACAGCTGTATTTTGTTGTTTTAGGAGGTAGGTAGCAGGAAAGGCAGAGTCACCACGTGCTGTGGTGAGAGCAGCAGGAACAGGAGCCAACACTGGATATTGTCTAACAGGAAATAGACACAACTCTAAAACCTTCCCTGTTTCTTTCTGCATAACAGGCTGAGATTGTATAAGGTTAACACGTACCTGAGTCCACAGTTTTATCTTCCACTGGTCATACCTCTGTCTTCATAAATGGTAATTTCAATCTGCACAGAAAAGCTGTTACGGAAATACACTATAAAAAGATTAACAACAACAAAAGGCAGTAAAGCATCAAGATATCAGAACCTTTGATCTTTCTCCTTCAAACTTGTTCCAAGGCTTGTTTCAGAGCTCCAAAGCAAACGGAACAGTACCCATAAGAGATGTCCTGTCAGATCAGTGATCAGTCCAGGACTGTTGTGACAGGAACACACGATGCTGTGCAGGGAGGGTCCGTGTGCTAAACCCTCAGGAAAGGCTTCGGGCGAGACAAAAGCCAACGCTCTGACAGCTCGGGTGCTGTCACCAACCAAACTCAAAGGGTCTTTACTAACTTGAATGCTTTGGGTTTTGGTTTTGGTTTTTTTTTTTCCCCCCCAGAAGGTGTATGCACAGAAAAATGTGGAAAACATATTGAGAATAATGAA